TTTTTTTTTTTAAGTTTATTTATTTATTTTGAGAGAGAGAGAGAGCGGGCGGGCATGTGCAAGTGCGCACGCGAGCGGGGTAGGGGCAGAGAGAGAGAATCCCCAGCAGGCTCCACGCTGTCAGGGAGGCTGGAACTCACAAACTTCTAGATCACGACCTGAGCCGAAATCTACAGTCTGACGCTTAACCAACTGAGCCACCCAGGCGCCCCCAAAAGGTTTTATTCTGATGTAGTCCAAGGTATCACTTTCTTCCTTCATAGTTTTTGGTTTTGGACCTTGTTTAAGAAGACCTCCCTTTGGGGCGCTTGGGGGGCTCAGTCGGTTAAGTGTCAGACTCTTGATTTCGGCTCAGGTCATGATCTCACAGTTTGTGAGTTTGAGCCCCGCATTGGGCTCTGTGCTGACAGCATGAAGCCTGCTTGAGATTCTCCCTCTCTCTCTGCCCCTCTCCAACTCGCACTCTCTGTGCCTCTCTCAAAATAAATAAATAAACTTAAAAAAAAAAAAACAACACACCTCCCCTGCCTAGAGTTACACATGCATTTTCTCCATACTTTCTTCTAATACTTTATAATTTTATTTTGCAAGTTTTTACACTTTGTATGCATCCGGAACCCATTGCATGATAGAAGAAGGCTTTGCAGCCATTGAGGATGGAATAAATGGTTTTATAAGAGGCATTTTAACAATCATCTATTCCTCTAGAAGGAAGTAATCGTACTTCTTTTGCATTGTGTCCATTGTAGTGTTTCTGGGCCATGCTTCACTGTCCAGTATTCTGTGGTTAAGTACAACTTGACCGCTTCACTTGCTTAACGCCCCCTGGCCTCAGTTTCCTCACGTACAGACGGAAGAGCTAAAAGTCCGCGTGTATATGGGTCGAGAGCATTAAATGAGCTGTTTCACGCAAAACGCCTAGCTCTGCCTGTTGTCGACGGTAAACCCGCCATTGTCAGTCTCAACTGTCTCTCCAGAGAGTCACCAGCTCCGTCTCTGTATTTCCCCACCGAGCCTAAGATTGCGTTTAGGGCCTGTTTAATAAATATCTGTTGAATCGCGAATCAATTCATGTACAGAATCGTACTGTCCCAGTGGGAGCAAGGAAGCCTGTGGGCTGATGCCGACGCTTTTCAGTAGGCCCTCGCGGCTGGCCTCGTGGTCTGACCTCCTGTCCCTGGCTGCAGGCACTGGGACCAGGTCAGGGAAGAGGTCCAGAGGGAGTTCGATCAGGAATCTGAGAGCTTCACCCTGGAGCAGATTGTGGAGCTCGGGATGGACCAGCACGTGGAGAAAATTGGGGAGATCTCCGCCTCAGCGACCAAAGAGCTGGCTATAGAGTCGGTATGACAGAGCCCCCTTCCATACCCCCCTGCTCCCGGGACACCCCCCACCGTGCCAAGCTTTCCACGATCTAATGGCCCCTCCGCGTTCCTGTTCCCTTTGGGGACTAACTACCAGATCGCTCTGTCCCCCAATTTCTTTCCGCAGGCCTTAGAGAACATCGCCAAGACCTGGGATGGGATTCAGCTAGACGTAGCTCCCTACAAGGACAAGGGTCATCACCGGCTCAGGTAGACAGGGCCTCGGCGCGCCGGGCGAGGGCAGGGCCGTGTGGCCTGGGCTGCAGCCCGGGCCCGAGGGCTGGCAGGTGGGAGCGGACTACGATTTGGATGCCTCCCCGCTGCCCCCTCCGACCCACAGAGGCACGGAGGAGGTGTTCCAGGCACTGGAGGACAACCAGGTGGCCCTGTCCAGCATGAAGGCTTCCCGTTTCGTCAAGGCCTTTGAGAGGGAAGTGGACCACTGGGAGCGCTGCCTCTCCCTCATTTTGGAGGCCGTCGAGATGGTGCTCATGGTGCAGAGGCAGTGGATGTACCTGGAGGTCAGGACTCACTGCCCGAGCGGCCCCCGCAAACCCTTTCCTCCTCTCTCTCTCTCTGCAGGTCTGACGCATTTGCCCTGTTACCAGCCTCATCTCCTCACTCTGAAGTCATTGCTTTTTTTTTTTTTTTTTAAATTTATTTTGAGAGAGAGAGAGAAACAGCACACACAAGCAGGAGAGGGGCAGAGACAGAGAGAGAGAGAGAGAGAGAGAGAGAGAGAGAAAGAATTCCAAGAAGACTCTGTACTGTCAGCTCGATCCCACAAACCCACAAGATCATGACTTGAGCCGAAATCAAGAGCTGGACACAGGGCGCCTGGGTGGCTCAGTCGGTTAAGTGTCCGATGTCAGCTCAGGTCGTGATCTCGCGGTTGGTGAGTGTGAGCCCCGCGTCGGGCTCTGTGCTGACGGCTCAGAGCCTGGAGCCTGCTTCCGATTCTGTGTCTCTCCCTCTCTCTGCCCCTCCCCTGCTTCTGCTCTGTCTCTCTGTTTCAAAAATAGACAAAACTATTAAAAAAATTAAAAAAAAAATTTTTTTTTAACGTTTATTTATTTTTGAGACAGAGAGAGACAGAGCATGAATGGGGGAGGGTCAGAGAGAGGGAGACACAGACTCCGAAACAGGCTCCAGGCTCTGAGCTGTCAGCACAGAGCCCGATGCGGGGCTTGAACTCATGGACCGCGAGATCGTGACCTGAGCTGAAGTCGGCCGCTCAACCGACTGAGCCACCCAGACGCCCCTAAAAAATTTTTTTAAAAAAGAGTTGGACACTTACCCGACTTAGACACCCAGGTGCCATATCTTTTTTTAAAAGTTTATTTATTTATTGTAAAGTCATTCTTCCATCTCGGCCCTGAGCATCTGACTCTCAGTGATTGCCTTTTGCCTTCAGTTCCCTCCTTGAAAAGCCTTTGCTCTCTTTTCGTTTTTCTTCTTGGACCAAGTATCTGGCCTCCCAACCCCAACTTGCCTTCCACAACTTAGGGCGTCTTGCCCTTTGGATCCTTCTCTTCCTCCCACTGTCACTCCTGGTCTGGGAGCAGGGAGTGTGGGAGACACAGCCTCTCACCGCAGTCCTTGGCCCCTCAGAATATCTTCCTGGGAGAGGACATCCGTAAGCAGCTGCCCAGTGAATCAGCCCTGTTTGACCAGATCAACAGCACCTGGAAATCTGTCATGGACCGCATGAACAAGGACAGCAATGCTCTCCGGGCCACCCACCACCCAGGTCTGTCGAGCTCCACGGCCTCTGGTCTTGACCGAGCCCGGGCGGGGGCCCGCTGTGCGTGGAAGCCGGGGCCACATGCTTCAGCGGTCAGAGGACTGACAGTCGTACCTGGCCTCTGTCCCATGACCATTGCCTCTTCCAAGCTTTAGAATAACAGTTCAGCAAAACAAACTAACTCATCTCATATTTGGGTGGAGTGTACTATATGCTTATAGAGAGCGGGATACAGAGTCAGAGTTGAGTTCAAAATCGGCCTCCTGCCTTCCAGCCAGTGTGGTCTCGGGGGGCTTCCTCCACGCCACGGTCTCCTCCCTGCAGCAGGGGCGGGGGCTCGCGGCAGCCCTTAGCCTTCCTGCGAGGCTCGTGGAGGCGTATGTAATACTCAATACGGGGTCTGGCGTGTGCTCAGTTACTAGCACTGTGCCTCAGGAACCTTCGCTGAGCTGGTTCACTCAACGGGACGACACAGGTAAATGAGGTAACGCAAATCGAGCGCTTACCGCATCAGGGGCGCAGGGTAAACCCTTGGTGACTATTAGCTGTTGTCATCGTTACCTTGACTTTAATTGGTTTATCAGGTTAACTGGTCTTGATTGTAGATCCTTTGGTAAGCGTGGGGATGGGGTGAGGGGGTGGGGGAGAGACGCACACACAGAAGGGCCTGGTTGATTGTGGTAGGCTGGGGTAAAGAATCAGCGAGTGAGGTTTGGCGATGGGCACCAAGAACGGGTATCCTGGGAAGAGTTGTGTCAGGGGCTGTGGAGAACTTCTTTATTTTGCTTTGGGCCAATTTCACAAAATTTTTAAAAAAGTTTTATTCATTTTTGGGATTCAGAGAGACAGAGCATGAGTGGGGCAGGGGCAGAGAGAGAGAGAGGGAGACAGAGTCCGAAGCAGGCTCCAGGCTCTGAGCCGTCAGCACAGAGCCCGACGTGGGGCTCGAACCCACGAGCTCTGAAATCGTGAGCCAAAGTTGGATGCTTAACTCACTGAGCCACTCAGGTGCCCCAACAATTTTTCATTTTCCCAAGAACCTTGAGCGTACGTATTGAAAAAAACCATAGTTTTAATTATTCTGGTAAAACACAAGTATTAGGCTGTGCAAAGTTGAACAACAACATGCATTTGTTAGAGATAGTATTCGAGATCATTGGCAAAATTACATTTTGGAACAATTTGTAAACAAAGCCATAGAAACAAGTATCCCTGGGCTGAAGACGAAAACCACACTCCTCTCGGCCATGGCCACGGAGTCTCCTGGTCTCTGCGGGCCACTTGGATGCCCAGCAGCCCACAGACTCTATTCTTGGAGGTGTGAGGATCCCCTCAGGGTTCAGATTCCAGGGCACTCATACTTTCTTCAGAAAGCTAGACATTGGGCAAACAAGGAGACCTAAGGTTAGGAGGAAGCTAGGATTGCTGAGAACCTGCCAACGTGAGTCCTTTTTTTTTTTAAAGTTTATTTTTTTTGGGGCGGGGGGGGGGGAGAGAGAGGGAGAGAGAGAGAGAGAGAGAGAGAGAG